ATTAATACAATTCAATTATTGTTTAGACTTTGCTTTGTTCTTAATTTATAAAATTCCATCATACGCATAATAACATTCAAAGTTCAAAGGTTTTGTCCCTTGTAATGTGAAAGAGTTGCTATTTTTATAATGTGCAATTTTGTTTTGTCAATTGATATTGTAATTTAGTATTCAATCAATCGTTCTTCATATAAGTAATAAAACAAACAAAAAAACAATTAATTACGTATATGAATCTTTTCTGTTAGAGACATTAAAGAAGTATTGCGAGTAAAAAACAAACAAAACAGATTCGTATAGAATATTTAATTGGTTTTATCTAGGGGAGTAAACTGTTATATTTCAAGTTTTAAACCGTTAAGAGTTAATTTTATTTTTACTTGCGTAAACTACAGATTAATGTAATTAAGTTTCATAATTAACAAAATAAATGAACAAAACTAATCTCACGATAGTTCTGTATTATCTCCGTCTTGTCTAAGATCTTGTCACAATAAACACAATTGGGCTTAGACCATCTTCAGTTAATTTAAGCTGCCGCGGCTGGACTATTATGCAATACAATAGCTCCTAATATTGTTAACATTGATATGAATGTAGTGGATTACCTGCAGCCTCTAACGAACCTTACAGTTTCTGTTCTAATCCCGCTAGGGGACAAATTACAAGCGCCAGCGATTTCACGTACAATGAACCGAAATGGATAATAAAAGGACAAACCATTTTTCTAGTACGGTCTGTAGTTTTCACGAGTAGTACACATTTAAATAAAACACTTTAAACGTTTAATACGCGAAAAGTATTAGTTAAACTTATTTTAACAATGGTCCGACGTTTTGGATCCTTTGCAAGATGGAGGGTGTCAAATGTCGAAAAAAAACGCCGAGCCGTAAAAGTTTAACTAATTCATATCGTGTTTTAAACCACTTAGTGTTTTATTAATTTTTTTAACAGGAATGAGAAATCGTTGTCTTATTTTGTGAGAATTATGAAACAATTTTTTAACGAGCGCGTTGGCCTTAAGCAATGTACATATGGTGAATAATCAACGGGTCATGGATTCGATTCCCACTAGGTCCAACATGTGTCTCTAATCCCATATCCCAGTTTATGCAGTCCCCTCGTGACCAAGGCAGCTGCAAAGTATCAGAAATATCGGGCTGTAATTAAATTACACGGTTTAAAAAATTTAACTAATATGTTTAGCTTTGTAAACCGTTCAAAATATATTGAAATTATGTCTTCATTTCTCATATATATGAATCTCAATGGTCTTTAACTAATCAATAAGACGAATATCTTTACTGGAGCGAAAGCCAAATAACCAAATAATATTATGACATCTTTGAAGATCAGAGATCTTTGTTCACAAACAATCTATCATTTTAACTGATAACTGACTAACTTGAACGCCTCAAACGAAAATTTGAAATGATATTAAGAATTCAAATAATTAGTCTATAATAAAACCTTTAATTTCTTTTTACATTTGATAGTCTTAACGGCCAGTTACTTTTTTATGTTTATCTGTTATGTCATCTGTAGACTTCTGATAGAGTAAAACTAACGCTATACACATATTTTGACGGGTCACAATGTATGAGATTAGCTCTTAAATTTTTCTAAAACCAGTTTTGTTTTATCATGTCCCTAGTGGTTTCGGATCGATTGGGTCTCCCCTTCCTTGGTCACTCATTGTCAGGCCACTTACTGTGTTAATGATATTCTATGTGGATATTCTAAATAATAAATGGGTGGCAAGAATATTGGTATTCCGTTAAGCTTTATATGGAAAAAATGGATGGAAAAGTCATGAAGCGTTTTATCAACAAGTTTTGCAAATAGGTCGACAGCACATCTTACTTAGATGTTATATGACTGTATTTTATCTTCATATGTCATATAAAGAAAAGAGATGCATTAATAAATGTATTTTTAATCTGTAGATGAATAAAATTAATCGGTGAGATGGATACAGAAAAAGTCAGCCCAAACCTACAAATAATTAAGTAACCTTGTTTCCTAAGGATTGCTTCTGAAACTATAAGCACTCGGTCTAACAAAAACCAGATAAGAAATATATTTTGTGAAGGCAACAAACGCAACAAAAAGATAAAGATAACACACGATTTTGTCAACACATTACAGCTTAAGGAGGAAGAGGCATAGATATAGTATGTTTTATGACATTCAGCATACATTATTTATATCTTTAATTTACAATATAATAATATCAACGGATTTTAAATATATATCATTTTTCATACATTTTTGGATAATATTTTGTTAGGCAATAATTTGAGTAAGTAGTAAGGAGTAAGCAGAAAGAGATACTTTAAACCTATTAAAAATAAATGTATAGACATTTAAAATATTGAAAAGCTGAAGTCTTTTTTGTTTAACTATTTTCAAGCTCGACGAATTGAATAGATTGTTTTGTTGGTTAGACATTTCGAGGAAGCTTTAAACGAAATAACATAAGGTGGACAAATAGGAGCGAAGGATTATGGAAAAACAGAGATGAATATTTGTAGAAACAAAAAAAAATTGAAGAATGATTTATGTTCTAAATAACGGTTTATAACGGAAGTACTAATTATCTTTTTTTTTAAATATATATTGTATTTTAACACGTTAAATGGTTTATTTAAATAGATTCTACTTAAAGACGCCAAAACTAATAATCTCTCTTTACCAAAATCATTTTGAGAAGATTATAGAGAAGTAGAGAATCCGATAGTCTAGTACATATACATGTAATAAATAACATGACCTTTACACTTGCATAATTCAAGAATAGAATAATTTTCCCCTCAGTGTGTGATGTAACTTCTATGTGTTTTGTAAGTTAAAGTTAGCGAACACAAGCCCTACTCAGTTTACTTAGAGGTATCATCTGGCCTATACTTTGAATAAACAATTTGCCTCACAGTTAGGTATGAAACACGTTAACTACACGTAAAACTAGATACACTCAATGTATAATAAAGATCTTAAGTAAACTTTAAGAAAAAAATAAAAGTATTAAACACTCTTGTTAAGATAATATTTGTTAAAAAATTAGAAATATATTTGTTTGCTCCTAAAAGTAGTATTGAGTAGTTGCCCTCTTCCTATGATATCAGTGAACGATGGATTTAACTCTTACAAACTTTATCAGGCTGGTTCGTCTATGAGTAGCAAAGTATGGCAATATTCAACGAACCTTGAGATCGATCTCCACCAGGTCTAACGTGTTACTAATCAAGTTATGATTCAAGTTGAAAATAAAATAAATCTGGATCTGGAAGGTGGAGTATCGAAAATTACGAACTGGTCCACAAATCAAAGACCACTGTCCACAGATAAAAAAGTTTAAATGCGTTTCGGTTCCAGTCTATGGATTTCCGAATATCCAAAGCCAAATTACATTCAAAGCACAACATGTTAAGATGTTAAATAGCTAGAATATTTCCCCTTGCATCGAGAAAACTCAGTGCTTCTCTGTTTTTCTCTATCATGAAAAAAATGTTTACGTGCTATGCCACATCTTAAAGGCATAGTATATTTCTATACCTGTTTTAGATCAAACTTTAAAACTGTTATATATTATGTTTCTCCAGAATTAAAACCCAAGAGAAAATCTTCATCTAATGTGTAGTTGAGGTGGTGGAAAAGTAATGTAAATGCGTATACAAAAACTTCAAATATTATAAAGGAAAATATGTATTATATAAATCAAGCAATGTTATCCCATGCCACAAACGAAGGGTTGATTCATTAGAAACGGCCTAAGTTAAGTAATTTCCAGTTTGAAAAGGTCTAATCAGGCGCAACGTGAGTTTCATTGTGGGAATATGTATTTAATATGAAATCTTGAGATTTTAATCATTTTCGTAACGAATGAATGGAAATGTGGAAGCGTTATTTGTATTATTGTTAGCGGACGATTGAAATAAAACTGTGTAAAATTACAATGTCTAATGCTGGAGCTATTTTTAATTTCCGAGTTTACTTTAGTTGGTTTTTGTATAGTATTTTTAATAATGAAAGGTGAAATAATTATTAAAACATGTACATTACCTGACGAATAAATATTATTATAGAATACGAGAGTACAAACCAATGGGTCACTCAACAGAGGATGACAATATTCAATCTAATGTTAGTCTAAGATAAGCTGTCGACCTTTTCGAGTTTGGAAAATCTGGGGTTTACACTTATGCACGAATTTATAACTCACAGCTTTTTATTTTATGATCTGTGGATGTTGTTTGTTTGTGATCCTGGACGGATATAAGAGTAGAAGTCAACAACAATCTTAAGTAATTAAGAAAGCTATATAAAAATAAAAATATTTTAGCGGTTATAAAATCAGGATTTTCCAGACGCTGTGTTAAACATTCCTACCATAGAACAAACGATGGGGTCATCAAATTTTTTTTTATATTTTATATTTTAATTTATCGCATTTTAATAACATCTTAAAGGATTGTTTCTAAAAATTTACTAATATTATTGTCTATTTATATTTACTCTGACAAAATAGTATTAATATAATTTTTGATCTTTAATTATTTATATCAATTCATAATTTAAGTTTAAAAATACTTAAGATTATTTAAATACATTACTTTATATAAGTTGAATTTTGATTACTTTAACTAGAACCCGACTTTTCGGATACTTTTCAGCATTCATGATCACGGCAGACTAAAGATGGAGGGTGTCTCTGATGTCAAAGTAAAAACTGCCGTCTATATAACATATATATCGCATTTCAAACGTGTGTTTTAATTTAACGTGTATTGTAACGACCCTTAAATGAGGAATACGACTCAAGGAGGAGGATTCGCGTAAACTATGTGTTACACATGTGTATAAGAACCATTTTGTATTTACTCCAAAAGTGAATCTTCTAAGAACAAAAGATTAAGCCAAAATGGAATATGCATAAATAAATACATGTACAGGCTAAAAAAGGTATTTTAGTAAGATAAATGAATTAGAATAATACTTACGTTTTGCACTAACTCCGACGGAAATAACTAAAACCGCTAACACGGAGAACGCGAGGAGATTCTGCGCCATTTTGTACCTTTAAGAAATAAAAACAATTAAGTATCAAACAATATAAATATCGCTTACACGGTTCATTGTTTTTGAACTTGAGAGTTTTCACCAATGGATTTTGTAAAGGAATTAATTCTTTGTAGAATTATTGCGTATCGGTTTTGTTAATTTCAAATCAAAGTTGATACAATTCTATTGTCTATGTCCTTGGATACGGCAAATGTTATACAAGCTGAGTATTATTACTTATTGATTAAATATTAATACAATAGTAAATGTTTGCATGTACATTTTATATGTCTAGACAAAGTTTAAAAAGGCTTTAATATAAACAAAATAGAGAAGGAACGACAACCGTGAGTGTTACTTGATAGTAGGCAATATAACATCTTAACAAGGTAGGTCGCCTTATTTCAGCCAAGGTATTCCTTGTTCTTTTTTGTAATTCAGCCTTCCTCGATAAATGGTATTTTCAACACAATCATAATTTTTCAATTCAAACTAGTAATTTAGTTTAAGTAATTAGAAAGCTTCGCATTTCTTCTTCTTGCTTGCCTGGAAGAGATCGCTTGGAGAGATAAGGCCGCCCGGTATACTGTGTACCTAAGTGTGAAATAAATAGAGACATATTACGCCACAAGGACTGTTGCACGTATGTTGGGTTGCGGGCAAGGTTCAAGAAACCATGAAATTCGACTAACGTAATCAATAGATACTCGCTCCAGTAGACAAAATGTATGCACAAAGTCAAAGGATTGAAAGATTATATAAACCCACGTGCACACTGAAACAGAGTCAAGTCGACAGCGGCTGATAACCACAAATCGGATTGTTTCAGCTACACGTGACCGGGGTTTGCTGATCTGCGACTCTTTGATCAAACCGAACCTGGTATAAACAAAGCTAGGATGCTATGAGATAAACATTATTTAGTTATTATAGCTTACTACATTTTATTAAAGCTTCACAAAAATGTTTTATTATGCATTAGTGCAAGAAATGTGGACATAACACCGAAATTTACTTAGCGAAACTTGTGTTCGTAAACAAAATGAGTGAATAATAAAAGGTGCCGCGGGTAGTTTCATATTCAAATTTAGGTAGCCCCAGAGGCAACTCGTGTTATCAGACCAGGGCAAGGTAACATTAGATGGAGAAAAACTTATTACGCAACGGGCTGACAACATTTATGTCATAATTGAACACATATTATAATATTATAGATACGCACTATTAACTATTCTTACTACTTCTTATAAGAAAAAAAACAAACAGAAGAAGAAAAAGAGTTGGAGGGACTCGGCGTAATTGTAAGAATGGGGCCGTTGGTTAGATGTCCACCACCGTCCACAGATGAAAAATCCGTGTAATTTCATAGATTTGCTTTCCGTCTGTGTATTTCCGAATATACAAAGCAAAAATAGGTCGATAACGGAGCCTAGTTTATTTTTTTATAATTGTTTTTTTCGCCCAAAAAAAAGAACGATATAACTTTTTATGAATATTCCAAGTTCCTGTTGTTATTATTAACATCTATGAAATAGGCGCATAAAGTATTGTTTATTTTATAAGACCCCTTTTCAATATTAATTTTATCTTTTGTAAATATAAACATCGATTTTAGATTGAAAAAAAATTACGACACAGGACAGACATTTTTAGTGTACAGTGCCATTATGTGCAATGAAATGTGAAAAATAGTTTTCAAATGTGTTATAACAATCTATATATTTAAAAAATGAAACTATCCCGGTTCTGTATATTTAGCCCTTAGATAGATAGTGAAGTCTTAGCAAAGGAACGCTTTGGCTACTTATTAAAGAAGAAAAAGATTGTTCTTGAAGATTCTAACCCTTGCATTGAAATGTACAAGTAAACCTGTGCATAGGTCAAGTTATATTGGTCTAGTCACGGCAACGGGAAGATACGAGCGGCTAACTAAGTTCACCTCCTGGTCCAATCGGATTATATTTATGCACGGAATCACTGTACGGATCAAATAAACCTTATTTCAAATTCTATCAATTCGTCCGAATTGACTTTAAGGAATGCTTTGACAATGTATGGCTTCTATTCCGACTGGATCTAATATGTTTCTAGAATCAATTTATAGTTTTTTTTGCCATTTTTTCTAAGGTTATCTTTATAATCCATACTTAATATTATAAAGCTGAAGAGTTTGTTCGTTTAAACGCGCTAATCTTAAAACTACTGTTTCGAATTTAAAAAAATATTTTTTGTTATATAACATCAAGAAACAATGGAAAATGTGGAAAAGTCCGGGGAAAGTTATTCATCTTTAAGGGGTTTATAAAGGTGCAAGAAACGAAGAATATATATGAAAGATTGATTTCTGAATGTCCGCGACAGTAACGACCTATATGTCAATGTCTTTACTCGCTAGAACGACGACGGGAAACGGCTATAATTTCTAAAATTGAGGAGGTTCTTTGCAAAAATAAATTATGATCCCCAAAATAAAAAAAACAAATACCAAATAAAAAATAAAACAAAGATGGCAAAAATTGGTTTAATTATGCTACCACCCAAATAACCGTGTTTGAAGCAACATTTACAGTTTTCATAAAACCAAAAAAAACCTTAACCAGACTATATTAGACTTTTAACGCTTAACGCAATGCTTAGAGTCCAATTTACGACCCCTAAAGTTAGCTTGTTTAAATATTGTACTAAGAAAATAACAGTTTACAGACTTTTTTATCCAAAGGCATTTGAAAATGTGCGTTTATCTTTTTTACATGTCAAAAATGTTTGATCGATTTTGACATATCGTATTGAAACGTCTGATTCTAAAATGTCACGTAGCGTTTTTTTCACAAAAAGACAAATTAGTTTCAGAATGATTTATGTAGAGAGTGAATTTTATATAAGTAGATATAAATTCACAGGAAATTAACACAAATAGTTAGGCTTTTAATTTGTTGTTTTGAGCGGCATTTCCTTACTAAAAAAGCTTAAGAAATAATAAGGTAATTTTTTTCTCTATTACGTATATATAAAATTTTAAACAAAACATATTTTAACCGTTTAAAATTATGCAGTTAATAATTGATAAAAAAGATATTTTAAGATTGTAGGCCATCTTTAAACAAAGTTCAGACTCTGTTATAGTAAGTATTGCGTTATTGCTAAGTAAAGCATATTTTCGAAAACTTTAATATTTTTCACACGTGCACATGATAGTACTATATAAATTAAAAATCGATTGTAGACACCCAATCAATCAAATGACACGGTCGCTCAATTGAGCTAGAGCCACACCACGGAACGCTGTAGATGCCAGCTCAAGTCCTGCCCGTGTCGTATTTTTTCTTCTATCTAAAATCGATTTTTCAACGTATTGTTTTAAATTCAGAACTTAGTGAGACACTGTCCAAAAGTAACCGTATGTCGTCATTGATATCGCTTTTATGAAGCCAAAGTGTGAGGTTAAGATGGCGTAATAATATAAATACCAAACATCGTAAAGCACCCAGGCTTTTGTCGTAAAAGACAAATGATCTATTCATGTGTATGGAGATAATGTTGAAACCCGTTGAAGCGGATTCACTCGTGTTTTATTACGAATCACGTGGGCTTATCGTGTATATTGTTGTGTATGATCTACGTAGATTTCTGAAATTTTAAACAAACACATTTTAATCGTTTAAAACGCGAAATATATTAGTTAAACTTATTTGAAAATTATTTTTAACTTCGGCCCGACGCTTCGGATGCTTTGCAGCAGCCGTGGTCACGGGGAGACGTAAAGATGGAGGATGTCTCTGACGTCAAAGTAAAAAATTTAAGGCTCCCCCCCCCCCCCCCCCCGGGGGGGGGGGGGGCCCCGCCCCCCCCCAACCCCCCCCCCCCGCCGGCCCCTGGGGCCGGGCGCGGCGGAAGGGGGGGCGGGGCCCCCCCCCGGAGTGTAGGCCCACCGCAAAATAAGAACGTAAATAAAACACCCCAAACCCCCGCCCCCCCCAAAAAAAAACCCCACCCCCCCCAAAAACCCCCCCCCCCCAACCCGAACCCCCCCCAGGCCACCCCCGGGGGGCCCCCCCCCGTTCCCCCCAAACCCCCCCCCCGGGGGAAGGGGGGGCGCGGGGGGAAAATTTTTTTTTTGGGGGGCAGAACCCCCCCCCCTCCTTAGCCCCCCCGGGACCGGGGCGGGGGAAAAGCACCCGAAAGGGGGGGGGGGGGGAAAAAACTTTAAAAAAAAACAAAAAACGTTAAAGTGTTTTATTTAAATGTGTACTACTCGAGTAAACAATAGACAGTATTTAAGTTAAAATCAATGGAAGAGAAAGTTGTATGAAAAATAATACATTTAAGCATTATTTTAATTTGGAAATTACAAAAACAGTCATTGATTAATATTTCGTTTTACTAAACTAATATTTAATATTATAATGATTATATCGACACCACGTACCTTCTACCTACATTCTTGATCGAAGATATAACAATCTAGTCGGAATGTAAATTACAATACAATGTACAAAATATCTTTTAACTATTCATAAAAGTTAACCATGATGTATTTGTAATCGTCGAGACATTAAATCTGCAAAGCTTTGTTTGATAAAGAGTTATGTGAAAGCATAAAATAAAACAAAGTTTAGTGGTAAATGCTCTAAGTTTTACAATAAACAATATAACTTCCATTGTTTAGGAAATATTGCGTTGATGAGATCTGATGTGTGTTTCTTGTTGAAATACAACATCGTTTCTTGCCTTTCTTTGCCCTGCTCGACCGAAAAATGTATAGTCAATATCGAAATTAATTTAAGTCTTTAAAACTACTTTGAATTTTGCTTAGATTTGACCACAACCGCGTTTTAATAGGTTAACATTTTTTACTATTGCGTTAAGAGTGACCGATTCTTTCTTTCTTTCTTCTCTTCTTTCTTTTCAAACACACCTAGGGATAGACCACATTCTGCCCTGTGAATAACATTTACCGTAACAAACGCTTTATTTGGGGTATGTATGTCTTTGTGTTTTTAACTTCTTTT